TGCCAAACCTGAGCAACGAGGCAAAGGTCTCAGGAGTGCAGGGTAAAGTAAATAGCACGACAGAACACACATAATGAGTGCTACCAAAAACAACAGAAACATGCACACAAAGAGAAGATACAAACGCGTTCCTCTCTTTGATGGTATTAAACATTGTCAGCTAAGAAATATAGTCTGCAAGTGACTGAGGAATATGCTTAGATGATATTCATACATATAAACCACCAGATAAATGGCAATATGATGCCAATTACAGCACAGATTAAAGTCATAATAATTTGGTATAAAATGCCTTATCTTGGCTCGGAAGCAGTATGCAGAGAAACACAGAAGTAGCAGTACCTTAAAATTAGACCTGAAGTAAAAAACAACCAACTGTAGCATATGAAAGAACAAGATAATAATATCTATCTCAGTTGCATGTAATGAATACAACCTGAAAATCATCACGATTTCCTGTACCACATGTAGCCATGTCTCACACAGCAGCAAAGCATGTTCTTTAAAAAGATATATCCTAGAGGACACTAGAGATTTTTTTTTATTTTTTTGTAAATTGATGTGAAACATAAGCAGCACCCCCTCCTCAGACGTGAGCAAGCTGTTGCACATCATCATGCATTCCTGCTGAACAAGTAGAAGGTGCTGTGAACCACCATACGGTCCCTCCATAGTATCGGTCATGAGTATAAATGTAAGAGGGCCAAGCAGTATGAGGTGCAATAATTCCCCCAGACTGGTGACAAAAGCTACTGTTCCAAATTAGTTTTCCAGATCACCTTCCCCTGATTTACCCCATCACACACACTTGAGTTTTCCTCACTATCAACCCTCCATATATCAAGTACCACATAGAAAGTGGAATGCGATCCATCACGTGCTCTGTACATATGTTCACAGCTACAATTACAGGACAAACTGCATTTTAATCACACTGCTAATTAAGCAGTGACCTAAAAATGCCATGCAGAGTGGCTTTTCAAACATCTGAAGGGTTTTCCTTTCATGCTCATTGAATTATTATGACATGTCAAAGAAATAACTGCCCATCCTGACGGTATGACCAGAACTGCTGTCCTCTCTCCAGTCCACCAGGTGCTCACTGTTTCCTCCAGCGCAGAAAGACGGCGTTATGGGCCCCTGGGTACGCTAGTGGCCATTGGAAGCATCAGACAGATTATTTCTCTGGCCCTGTAACTGGCGTGCTTGGCAACCAAAACGAGATTGCTTCATCCATTTCACTGCTACCTTTGTGATCTCTCTAGTCACCAAGCTGGAAGACAGACCACGTCTATTCCTTGCAGCTGAGGCTGTGTTTGAAAAACGAGCAATAAACAAATCTCATCCTCTTTTCCCAACTGTTATTATTTCTATAGGATACAGGCATTTGCAATAGCATCCCCAGCCTCTGTCACATCCCCGACACGCTACTCGAAGCCCAGCCAGGCTGGGTGAGGAAGTTCACCCCAAAGAGCTGAGCAAAACCTGAGGATTTTGAGACCCACCAGTGACTCCTGGTGCCTTGGCTAAAACAGCTCAAGAGAGGCCAATGTGTAGAGCACGCTGGGCATCTGCGTGGTGAGAAACCAAGCCTCAAAAGGCTTCAAAGAGCTGCTTAACGATGGACTACAACTTTGGCACGCTAGTCACTATGAAAAAAATCTTAGAGATGACAACACGGTCTTTTACTCCCACAGTGGGAAGTGCACCAAGGAGCAGCCCTTTCGGTTACCCTCGTCAGGCCTCCTGAAGACAGGCATTAATTATCACGTGTGACAGGGATGGCTGCAGCAGGAGCCAAGCATGGCTGTGCACCTAAATACCGTGCAGAGCGACAAGTCCTTCTTGGGGAGCTGCTCACCGGGAGCTCTTTGGCCGATAAGCAAGAGGGATTAGCACTGTGCACATGAAACGACTCAGCTAATGAAAATTGTTTACAAGGAATTGAAAAGTGATTCCTCATTACGTAAGGAGAACAATAGTGAAAGTGCACATGCAGGATGAGGAGGGAGGCTTCTCTGTCCAAACAATAACAAACTGGAGAGCTGTCTTCTCCGTTTCTGCTGTCTTCAGCATAAAAACTCCCATCAATTAACAAACATGTTCCAAGCAAAGCACTCATGGGTAGAAATCTTGCACTGTTTCTCCTTCTGCAGTACAATGTTCACAAAACGAAACAGAACAAGAAAGCTTCATGCCTTAGATGTCCTTTATCAGCACTACACATACGTGCCAACAAGTTTATTACCCTAATCACAAACGTCAACAACAAATTAGCCCTGTTTAAAATTCAATGGCAACAAAGGCAGAAATCCAATACATGCATTCTCTAATTACAGTCCATGTAATATATTCTGCAAGTCTCCTGTGAGCTTGTTTTGTGGATGCACACGCGTTGCCTCCTTCCACTGAAAATCAGTTCGGTGTACACTGCACAAATGTCGTCACTTCTGCCAAAATCTTTTCTAGTATTTCCATTCTACGTGCCACAGAAAGTTAGTGCCAGTGAGAATGAATATGAGGGTTTTGTTCTCTCTTACCCCTGCACACCTACATACTCAAATGAAAGGCGCACAAACTCCGTGATTGTTTGCTCTAAAACCAGTCCTTAGAAAATTGCAACCTATTCCTTCCAGGTTAGGCTTTGCAATGAAGGAGGAGAGAAAAATGGCTGCTAAGACAAGTTTCGTGTGTTTGCTTCAGAAAGAAAGCAGAACATCCTACACTTTATGAAATGTGAAAAGCCAACTGATGCATCTCATGCCACCCACAAGCTGCAAAATGTCAAGAAATGGCCCCGTCTGGGGCTTGACTGAAAGATGGTCCTTCCCAATGGGGAGGGCAATGTCATATCAAAGGCCACCACTGTTGCATTTGGAAAAAAGCTTTCTTAAGAGCCTAATATAATGAATTGTGCCTACAGTTCATGTGTCCTGAACTTCCCTCTCCTCGCTGTAGAAGACATTCCTGAGAGTGTCCGAAGCCAAACAGGATAATTTATTTCCAGGAAATGTGCCTCTTCCTACTGTTTGCTTTCCTCAATAATTCATATTACTCAGCACAACGCAATCATCCCTGCACTGCTTCACAGTGGTATCACAATTAGGTTGTTATGAGAGTCACTAAAAATAAAATAGAAAGTAATTTCAGAAATTTATAATTTTGTGAAAAGCAGAATATTTCAGCTGTCTCTAATAATACCTAGGGCTGGTGAAAGCATATCAAGTTGACCCCCAGGAACCATTACCACTTCCATGCTCACAGTGGGTGTGCTGAGAAGCTGGTGAGCTGAGAGCTTCTTAGAGCACTTTGTGAAGAATACATGATAGTTCTGGTTTTATTTGGGTTAGACACTTAGTATCCAACTTATTCTGTGTTTGGGGTTTTCAAGAATAAACACAAGGGAATCTACAGATGAATTTCAAAGCATCCAGTAAATATATGCCTGGAGAGCAAAACTCATGTTGCTTAACACAACAGTGGTTAAGGGCAAAGCAGCAAACTTATTCTCACAAAAAATTAGAAGCTGCAGTTTTAAATCAAAGAGTGGTATTCATAAATCCATCCTGAATTGTTTTGCCTCTTAGAAAAAAAAACTGAATAAAAATGTGATAAAACCTAGAAAATTAAAGCACAAAGTATTTTTGAACAATTTGTTTTGCAGTTTGAGAGAAGACACACAATTCAGTTACCCAAAGGAATCCTTCTGGATTATAGTTTTACCCAAAATAAAATAACACAAAATGTCTTTGGGTAATCCTGAAAGATTTTTTCCTAGCAAACCAATGACATTAATCTTACTCAGAGTACCAATTCTGACAACAGGAGAGGAAATAAAAAGCAACTCAAACTTCAAAGAACATGGGATAAGGTTTTTCAGAAGTGTTCAGTACTGGGCTAATGAGAATTTTATCATTAACTTCCCTGAGAACAGGATTAGGTCTAATACAAACACTTCTGAATATCTCTAGCAGTGAGTAATGAAAGCAGGAGGAATACAAGATGATGTACAACCTGCAGGTAGAACTAGTGAATATCTAATAGGGTATTTTCCCATATGTCTCATGCAGCCTCTGTCAATGTACAATCTAAATTAATGACTCTGCAGTCTCAAACCGGTTCATTTTCCATCTCCTTATCAGGAGCACAGAGAAGACTGCCAGGGTAGACTGAAGCACGTACATGACCTGCACATTTTAGCATAGAATAGGTATTAAAAAAACGTTACTCCCCTACTATGCTTTTGAGTGAGATATATGTTTAAGGAAGAGAAAGCTTTGTACTATTTCAAAAATTCTCAACACCTTTCCTAAAGAAGCTTCCACAACACAACTGCAGAAGCAATTGCCTGTAACTCCCTATGATCCACAAAGACACCCCTTTCATGTAAGTTAATATCTGATCTCCGACAAGTCTAGTGCAACCTCACTTTGATTTTTGCAATATGATTAATGGTAGGTCTTAGATGTTGAACTGTGATGTTTGGCTTACTGCTACGTTATATACACTAAATAACCATTTCCAGGTCATTTCACATTTCCTGTGTTCCATTACTCTGCAGATGGGAAACCTTCTATAGCCAACATTTAGGTTTTAGAGGCATAGTAAAGGTATGAATACAATAATTGATTTCGTTTTCAACTGGCTCAGCAGAAGACAGTTCCCAGTCCTGTCTGAAGCAGTGACAAAGAGCCTAATGACTATGGGAGAGGCAGAGACGCTTAACAACTTCACTGGGGTTTGGATCATTAGCAGTAATTGAATGCAGGACTCCAGGCCAAGTTTTGCCCTCAAATCAGACCAATTAGAGACTGACATTCAACTAGAGGGACATTTTCATCTGTTAAGCTTGCCTGCGTTAGCTATGCAGCGGTACGATTTTTTTCACCTCAATCCAATGCACTTGGGGGGAAATCTTGCGCTTCCTAACCGTTTCACCTGAAGAGTAGGAAACAAAAGATTTTAAGCAAAACGTTGTGTCACGTGTTTTTGGGTGTTACCTTGAACGCAGCTATGCAGTGCAGGCTGAGCAACGCCATCACCAGCACCAGGAACACCGTGGCCAAGTTCCTCACGTCCCAGACGGACTCAATCAAAGGGATGCTGCCGACCTGCCAGTCGTAGCACAGGGTGATCGGTGCCAGCAGGAGCCACGCATTGAAGGCCAGAAGGTAGGAATAAGTTAGAAACCTGCAAAAGAAAACAGGTAATGTAATACAGGGAATGACTGCCAACCCATGTGATGTTTTCCTTCGGCAATTACCACTTACTATATAGGAGGAGGAAAAAAAAACAAGCTCCGCACTCCCAGGCAACACTACACCTCTCTGTCAATAAAGAGGTGCTAACGCAGGAGAGGGGCAATTCAACAGGTAAATTAAAGAAATAACCTAAGATCAATATTTATGCGGTTTCTATGCACCAGCCTTTGGAAAACTAGGCAATCGTCATCTCCCATTTGAATGTTGGATTTTTGAAATTACTTTCTACCAGATTCAGCAATAAATGAATAATAACTGAGCAGGTACATACATATATTGAACAGTTTCACAGTTCACTGCATCGCTCCTGCAACGCAAAATATCCCTCTAACTGGGTTTAACTTACAATTTAGGATTTCTCCTATGTGCACAATATTGAGCAATTAAAGTTAGACCTCTCTGTCTTTCCTCTTTACATCCCGGCACAGAGAGAAAATACAGAAGAAAGGATGCACAGGGTGATTCTCAGCTGATCCCATCACAGCTTATTAGGGCTGGTGACAGCTTGCCTGAGACGGCCACAGAAGTGATGGAGAAGTAGGGAGCCTTTCAAATTGTTGTAATCTTCATTAATTGGTATTCTCAATAGAGAGGAAATTAATGGGGAATGGAAACGGGGAACCATGCCGCTCTCTGGAAAGTATGCAGTGCTTTTAGAAGACTGAACAAGAACAGCATGTGTGCAACTGGGCTAAAGAAAACAGGGGGGGAAAAAAAGAAAAAAAAAAAGAGAAAAAAATAAAATCAAACCAACATCCCCTTCTCCCTGCCAGCCTTTTGATACTTGGCACCTACTTGCCCAAAAGTAGGGCCACCTACCTTGCATCCCCTTCAAACCACATATACCAGAGTTTGAATACCTCTGTATGCGAAAGGCTGGAGACTATTCCAGCAATCGTGAAGTCAAGCAAAATTGCAACAGCCTTAGAACAGACAAACCCTTACTTGGTCTGCAAATGGAAAAATCCACATTTGGTACACAGCACCAAAGACAGCAAATAGTCAAAAAGAAATGAAATAATATTCTACCCTGCATAGAATTTCTTCCATCTGAGCCTGCTTTGGCTATTGTTATCACACCCAGTTGCCATGGTACCTTCGCAGGTTTATTAAAACGGTAACAAAGGATGCCCAAGAGATGTCAAGTCATGTAGACAGAGGATTGTTTCACTTGCCACTTGCAAACATACCTCTTTGGGGTCAAAATGCCACCCCTTACAACAGCACTGACAACATCATATTTTATTTGTGGCAGAAGGGGTAAGACACTGAAGTTAAATGTGACTCCAGGCAGGCGGGACTGAAACTCCTGGACGGGTGTTGGACCAAGACACAGGGATGAAACAGGCCTAAATTTTTGTGAAAATATTTTTAAATGACCACAAACAACTAGGGTATCAGCTTTTCTTCTCATCTGAAAAACAAACATCTCCAGCAGCACAGCAACCCAAAAGCAGGGAAGCTTACAGAGCTGGAATAACGTTTCATTCTAAACAGTGGAAAAGGCACATTCTCATTTCCCCACAAATCTTTCTAAGCTCCCAGTTGTGATGGAAAATGGAACATTCCCAGCCATTTGGTACATTTCTCTTTCATCCCTCCATTCTCCCTTTCCCCATCCTGAGGGAGTAAAGGAGAGGAAGAATGATAGAAAATCCATCTTTTCTCCTAAGAGAGGCAGCGATTAAAGAGACAGTTTCTATTTAAGAAAACATCCCTCAACAACATAAGCTAATTTTACTCAAAATGTTCTTACAATTTTGATTGTTCACTATTTCTAAAGAAACAGACGTGTCTTTCCTAGCTATCAAACCAATCTTTTCTGGCCCGCATTAGGGAGAAACATGGCAAGGCAAAATCTGGTGGAGCTTCATCAGACCAAGGCACTTGCTCGTGATGTTACGGGTGGCCTAGCCCCACCTCTGCTTGGTCACAATGCAAAATGGACTTGTGTCAGCTCAGAAAACGTTGCCAGTATTTATTTACTGCTACTTAAAAGCTAAACTCAGACCCATTTCTAGCTTTACTTTCCAAAGAAAAAGCATGCCCATTTATGTCCACCTGAATAATGTCACGGCATAGGATATTGTTGTTACAAGTCTGTATATTAGGCTGGATTTTCAGGAGCATTGAGTTAGTTTTGCACTTGATGCCTTAAGAGAGCCCAGTTTTTGGAGAAGTGTAACCTTTTATGCCCTGGCATATTTACATTTTCAATAAGCATCACTATATTCATGGAAATTTGTATGCAACCCACAACGTGCACCAGAAACCCTCCTCTACTTTCTCAGACTGGGCTGTTGGGTAAGAAGGAACGAGGAGGAGAAGGACTTGGGGGTGTTGGTGGATGAGAAGCTCAACGTGAGTTGGCAACAGGCACTGGCAGCCCAGAAAGCCAACCACATCCTGAGCTGCATCAAGAGAAGCGTGGCCAGCAGGTCGAGGGAGGTGATTCTACCCCTCTACGCTGCGCTCATGACATCCCACCTGGAGTACTGTGTCCAGCTCTGGAGTCCTCAACACAAGAAGGAAATGGACCTGTTGGAATGGATCCAGCGGAGGGCCACGAAGATGATCAGTGGAATGGAACACCTTCCCTATGAAGACAGGCTGAGGGAGCTGGGTTTGTTCAGCCTGGAGAAGAGAAGGCTCCGGGGAGACCTAATAGCAGCCTTCCAGTACCTGAAGAGAGCCTACAGGCGAGCCGGAGAGGGACTCTTTGTCAGGAATTAGAGTGACAGGACAAGGGCTAATGGTTTTAAATTGGAAGAGGGGAGATTTAGATTAGATACTAGAAAGGAATTCTTTACTGTCAGGGTGGTGAGGCACTGGAACAGGTTGCCCAGGGGAGCTGTGGATGCCCCATCCCTGGAAATGTTCATGGCCAGCCTGGATGGGGCTTTGAGCAACCTGCTCTAGTGAGAGGTGTCCCTGCCCATGCTAGGGGGGTTGGAACTCTATGATCTTCAAGGTCCCTTGCAACTCTAACCATTCTATGTTTCTATGAGATGACATCTGGGATCTTTGCAAACTGCAGCATTGCAGCTGAAGAGGGACTAGTGGCTTTTCTGCATCTTCACTGACAAGGCAAGAGCTGCTAAATCATTACGCAGCACAGAGTAAATACACACAGCTTGCTGCCATAACAAATTGAGTCAGTTTAACAAATTTTAAGAGGAATTTGGGGTAGCCAGATTAGAGTGCTTTCATGCATTTCTGCTGGGAGGTTAGGACAAACTGCTGTTGAAGATGAGACGCTCCAGGACACGCACTGATCAGGAGATGTTTGTAAACAAGTCTCTCTTTCCCTGTGCTTGAGGGGTTTCCATCTTCCTTGGGAGCCACGTGCACAACTCTCTCCCAGAGGCAGGTCCCAGAGGAGATGGACAATTGTTCCGTTCTATTAGGGCAATAATTAGTGTCTTAAACACACTCTGCCAACAGCAGTGAACTATTTTAAAGCCTGTGACAGCCATTACCATCTATATACGGTCGACTGGTTTGCCTCTCCAGACACCGTACTGGAGAACTCCTGGCCATGTCTCTCATCGTGAAGGCTGAACGTGCTTGTGCCACCAGCAGGCAGGGAAGGAAGATCCAGGAGAGCACTGCCTGATTTTAGGAGGCATTTGTAAGCTGCAAGAGAGCCTTGAAGTGAACTCTGATTCAAGCATAAGTTTGGATATGCTTTCAGCATTGGTAACCTCTACTTGAATGTGATGGATGGCTGTATAAAATATAACATTACAAATTAGCGCTATTCTAGGTACTAGGAACAGAAAAATAACAGGATGCTAATAATAGTCACTGACAATTCAGCGCTGATTTTCACTTGTAGCTCTTGAAAGCACGTGATATTCCTTTACATCCGTATGGCTCTCATATCCCTAGCCAGGGAGAAAGCTAAAAGCAGGAGAAACTCTGGAAGAACCCTCACCAAAACTGACACTGCAAGGAAATAACCTGCAAATTTTGAAAAGACTCAAAGATTCATGGAGTCATCCCAGGAGCTAATTACATTTCAGCAGCCTACCTGGAAATGGCAACAAAAGTATTTTCTTTTAATTAGTTGACTAAGTGAATTACATTTTAAATTAATGATCTTCTCTATATTGCTGTTCATGTCTGCTGGAATTCCAAGGGAGAAAAATCCCTGCCTGTAACATCTCCCTCTCTATCAGTTAATCCCAGGGATGACAGAGTATTACTGGCGAGGTGATTGGAAGAATCTGCCTCTTAATTGGCAATCAGTTTCCCCCAAGGCTGGTTAACAGCATTTGCATTACAGTGGAGTCATTTTTTTTCATTTGCAAATTGAACATGGAAATCCAAGTTTCAGCCGGTATCAAGTGTTTCTTTTCACTTCTCAGCATCTCTGGCATGTTCAGAAAAACACAGCTCCTCCTGTGGGTAGCAGGTGTTGTCATGGCAATCCAGTTTGTTTAGTTTTAAATTTTTTAGTTTAAATGTACTCTTGCGTCCTTTGTTTGAGATACATACAGGATGACTCATATCTAGAACCTGTTGCAGAAAACAACTATCTGAACTGATTACTTCTGCTGCAAAAATGAAAGTACAGGGTGCTACTTAAAGCTATAAACAACAGGGTAGAAAAATACTCAAGGGATTGTCTGTTACCCTTTGTTGTAAGAGAGACTAACAAGCTTGGAAAAACCCTAGTCTCAGCTCTGCCCAACCCAGGCAATCAGAGCACATGAGGATTGTGAGATGAGCTAAAAAAAAAATAATAATACAAGATTTATAGACATTTATGAGGAGTTTTACTTGCTTTTTGATTTTGGAGCATTTCAAGCTTTTTTTTCCACAGCTCCCAGGGACTAAGATTATAGATTTCTTTCTAAAACTGGGCTATGCAAATGATCACAAGACTCAGACCATGCCCCACTGAAGCTGCATGGGAAAGGTGGG